GCACATATTTGTTTCTCGTTGAGACATAGATTTATTTTCGCGAGAAGCACAGTTGTGCTTTCTGGACAGGGAAAAAGATGTGCTTTCACGAGAAATACAGATTTGCTTCTTATGAAGGCACAAATTTGCTTCGAAAAGAAGCACAATTGTGCTTCTCGAAAAACGGATCAAAATAGGGAAAAATTATGCTTCCATGAAAAATACAACGGTAAAATACAACTTTTCAACATGGGATCTAGTTTCAAACCGTGCTTCGCCGAAACTTATTAACATGGTATCTAGTTTCAAAAATCTTGACACGAGAAATACAACGGTAAAATCGGTTTGGGATTTGAACGCACAGTTCAAGAGATAAAATATTTTGAAAAAACGAATCTATGTGTGCCACTTGTCGTGCCTGAGAAGATGGAAATGATCTTTGCAAAGTGTAACCCTTAACTAATGATTTCATATGATCTGCCCTCATCGACGCCTAAGTGTCGGTTGGCACAGCAACACATAGGGGTGTCCACGTGGGACTTGGCCTTGTTTTTTCGCTTGCTCGTTCAGTAGAGGACTCGCTCAGCCTTGCTGGTTTTTTTATTACTCGCTCTGACTCGCTTGTTTTTTAACTATTGTTTTTTGTGCTTGTCTTTTTCTCGCCGGTTTGTTCTTTTAGGGAAAATCAACCAATTTTCTTGGTTAAATTTTTTAAATGGTAAAAATGAAAAGATCATGATTTTTGAAAAAAGTTAGCACATTTGGAAATAGTTCAGGAATTTGAGAAAAAACATGCATATGAAAAAATGTTCATGAATCTGATAAGGTTCATGAATTTATCAAAAGTTCTAGAAAACTGATAAAAGCAATCAACAAATTAAAAACCATTGATTTTGAAAGAGTTAACGATCTTGAAAAAAGATTGCACGCTTGAAAAAGTTCACAAAGTTTAAAAAGTTCATGAAGTAGAGAAAGTTCAGGCATTTGAATTTTTTTCTAGAAGTTAAAAAGAAGATTACAAATTTGAAAAAACTGCAAAAAATTAAAAATATTTGCAAATTTGGTAAAAAGATCATTATTTTTTTAAGATAAAAAATAAAAACCAAACGCATAGAGAAAACCAGTTGAAAAAACAGTCCGGAAGCTTCCAAAACCTGGACTGGGTAAGAAAAACCAAACACAAGCTTGTCGCAGATTTAGAGAGACTGGGGGCGAAGATATATGGGCCTCCCAGCCCATCCAGAACGTATGTGAGCGTTTCTTAGCCATAGCGCGCCGTAAACGCCAACTAGGAAAATAAATAAAAACCTTATACACAGCCGGCATGTCAACCTGTCAGCTATGAAAACAAATAAAAACCTGTGAACTGAAATAATGTACACTCCTGCATCGACACATTGTTTTAGTTTGAAACCCATCACAACATCCCATTTCTTGACTCCCCACAACCTTCAGTTATGCCTCATTAGAGATAGGGCCCGTCCTAGACAAGCAGGAGTGCACAATGTGTCGATGCACTGTCGCTCCCGACGGCTGGAATAGTGCCCCCTCGCGGGCTCATCGTGTAATTCATTGACGAGACTAGCCGGCGGCACGGGGCAACGACGCAGACTGTGCTACAACGGAGCAACCCCGGCTCCAGCAGGCGGTATGGCGTCAATTTTTCCAGCTTCAATCTTCTCTGCTACCGCTTAGACGTAACCGTAAAGTCATCCCACCGCCACCACTCCCGTCGCTTGATTGGCTGATTGAATGTCACCCATTGCTTAATCTTGTCCGATGGTGATTGAAATATTAGTGCTATTCTGCACAGTATATATTGTTGAGATAATGAGAAGACTAGAGATATTTTCTCCTACTTTGGTCATCAAGAAGGCAAGACGGAGAAGATAGGCAGATAGTGTCATCTTCTTCATTGGTAGAAATAACAAGGAGTCACTATTATCATGTGTGTGCCGTCATGGGCTAAACAGCCTTGTAACCGCGTACCTATTAAGCCCACATGTGTGTGTTGTTAGAATTAAGCAGAGACAAGGCATTGATTTTTCCCTTGCTGGGCCGGCCCGTCTAAGGGTTTTTCTCTTCCTGTGTTAAATCCAAAAAATTAACACCACCAACGAATCGAACCGACGACCTCCTTCAGAAACAAACACGCCACAACCACCAGGCCACTAACCAACTGGTGCAAAGAGTCCTCGTTTTACTCTTTTATTCATTTGTCAGTTTGTTTTGTTCTTTTTCTTTTCTTTTTTTCTAGTTCTTTTACCTTTTTCTTTTATTTATTTTCTTAAATGCGCGGTATTTTAGTTCGTGAACTTTTTCGAAAATTCGATGAACTCTTTTCTCAAATCAATGAACTATTTCCATTTTTGGATGAACTATTTTTGAAAATTGTTGAACTTTTTTGAAATTTGGTTAACTTTCTTCAAATTCGATGAACTTTTATCAAATTAGGTGAACTTTTTTCAAAAAAATGATGAACTCTTTTCAAATTCTATGAACTTTTTCCATTTTTGGATGAACTATTTTTGAAAATTGATGAACTTTTTTGAAATTTGGCAAACTTTCTTCAAATTTGATGAACTTTTATCAAATTAGGTGAATTTTTTTCAAAAAAATGATGAACTCTTTTCAAATCTGATGGACCTTTTTAAGAATCGATGAACTACTTTCAAATTCGATGAATATTTTTCAACTTCGTTTGAAAATTTTGCGAAGTTTTGTTCAAATCCGTGAACATTTTTGTATTCGTACACGTTCTCGTTTTTGGCAAATCATTTGTTTTTTTATATTAATCAACGTGAACAAAGTTGAATGCATGTTAATGTTTGTACTAAAGGAGAACTCAAATAGATTTATTTTCTAATAATAGGCAACAACCCAAGCTTGGTATAGTGGTGAAGGCTCGAAGCTACTAATTTAGCGTTCGGAGATTGATTCCTGTTGTGCCCGAATTTGGCCTCAGCTTTTTTCACTTCCCGTTTTGCGTTTTTCCTCTGATTCATTGGGCCGGCTCGCTACGCGCCGCGTGCAGGCGCCAGGAGCGCTGGCCGGCGCTTGCAGCGCCCAATAGGGGCTCCCTCGATTTTTAGATCCCCGAAGCGTCATCTCTCGTTTCCCCTTCTGCTTCCTCCTTAATCTTCTCCTTCGTTCAGCAAAACAACCAATTCTACCTATCAAAAAAGACCGATTGATTATAGGATTTACCGTCGTTTCGTGCATTGTCATTATGCTTACAGCGTGACATTTGAATGTGGATGCTCTTCATCCAACACAACCCTATCTACAGCAACAACAACAACAACAACAACAACAATTACAACAGAGGGGTGACAACTTTGTAAACGGTCGATGGAGAAACTAGGGCAAACCCGATAATCTCGACAAACATGTAGGTGGTACAAATAGTATCCACAATCACGTTTGAGAGAAATACTTTGTGAAATAAAAAATATCAATTGCCAATGTATTGAACTTGATGATGATGATGAACTCTATTGTTCGGCATGAGTTGATTAGACATACTGTCGGTTGGTCAGGCCGGGACTATGTCATCTTGTTCCATTCTCAATGGATTACAATTCAGTTTCGGGTGCATTGACAACGTAGTTCGGCGTGCACCATGGGTCATGGTCGCGGTGCACTGGGTGCGCTTATAATACTTGGGGAGAGGTCTGATCGTTCTATCTGAAGTCAGGTTAGCGAGCAGACCCATTCGTGGTTCTCCTCGTTCTCCTTCGACATTCCTTTTGTGAGGGGTGTTATCGTAGTATCAACGAGACGACCAAGGCTCAAGGCACCTGGCTTTTCTTGGTTAGATGAAGATCAACACCGAAGACGCCTGTGCAACTCTCGAATTTAGGGGGCAGGTTGTTGCTCCACGGTTTAGGCTTTTCTTAGTGGTATAAAAAATCTGAAACTTTATGACGTTGATTATCAACAAATATTTTAGGTGCTTGCAAAGTTTGGTGGCCAAATAACATCAAATGATCTTCGTAAATGCAAATTCTGCTTGAAAGTGCATACAAATTTGTTTTTTTAAAAGAACTCCTCATATGTCATTTGGCCTCGAAATTTTACAAGCACCTGAAACATTTGGTCATAATTAAGGATGGCAATTTTACCCATGGACATGGATACCCATGGATATCCGACCCGAATGGATGGGGTTTGGATATGCTTTTTTGCCCATGGGCAGCGCCCAAACCCGACCCGATTGCTCGTGGATAGGGCATGGATCTAATCTTGTGCCCATGGGTATACCCAAACCCGACCCGATAGTATGATTTAATGGGTCAAAATCTGCTATCCCTACCCCACAGTCACATGTCCCACTGCAATTTTCCACTTTGTTATCTAAAACATGCAAAAGAAATTGCATAATCCCCGCTGTAACTTCTATTAGTTGTCATTCAATCCCCGTCGTAACATAATACAGGGTACCTTCACTTATTTTTATCTCCTCGTTAAATGACTCGTCATTCTCATCTTTTAGAAAAATACTAAATGATATTAGGTTGTCAGTGGACGTTGATTTGCCACAAGTTGATGTTTACCATAAGTGAAGCCTCCCCTGCCACGAGGTGAAGAATGGAGGACCTCATGTTACCACTGTGTTATTTCTTATTTATATGTCTTGTGAGGACCCAGTGGATATCCAGTGGGTATGAATATCCATCGAGTTTGGACATGGACACAATTTCCCCCCTTGGGTTTTTTCATAGACGGGCAAAGACAGTCTTCATGGATATGAATATGGATTTGATATTGTTCAAACCGATCCAAATCCAACCCATTGTCATCCTTAGTCATAATGAAGCCATCAAGTTTCAGATTCTTTTGAGCTTTTTTCCGTGTTTCCGATCATGGGCGCATAGGTGCCATGTCCGTGGGAGTAGAAAAACCACTCTCCTAAGAAAAAGACAATTGCGTGTATTCTGGAATTCATCTTTCACTCACTGACGTTCTTCTATATGGTTACCTTATTTAAAACAAAATTTCCCTCCATCTTGTCGTGCTACTCAATTCACTCTAGCCTTCACCCTCACCGGGAGCCCGTCCGCCATCCGCAACGTCAGCGAGGTCACCTGCCGCGGCCGGTATGCGCCGTCCACGGCGAGCTCGAACTCTTCCAGCACGCATGCCACGATAGACTTCATCTGGATGTAGGCCATCTCCTTCCCGAGGCAGATCCTCGGCCCCGCGTGGAACGCCATGTATCGGAACGGGCTCTCCGGCCGGAACGTCCCCTCCGCCGGGTCCAGCCACCGCTCCGGCCGGTACGCCCGCGCGTCCTCGCCCCACACGGACTCCATCCTCCCCATTGCGTACGAGTTGTACGCCACGAACCAACCTGCCCCCACCGCCGTGCCGTCCGGCAGGACGTCGGCGGCCTCCGCCCGCAGAAAGTTCACCGGCACCGGCGGGTACAGCCGCATCGACTCCGTGATGGCCGCGTGCACGTAGTGCATCTCCCTCAGCTCGTCGAGATCGAACCCGGCTCTGCCGAGGTCACCGATCGCTCGGCGGGCGCGCACGGCGGCGACCTCGTCGCGGATGCGGCGCTCCACGTCCGGGCGCGAGGACAACAGCCAGAAGAACCAGGTGAGCGCCGAGGACGTCGTTTCCCGCCCCGCGAGGAGGAAGCTGATCACTACATCGCGGAGGGCCGTCTCGGTGTAGCTCTCGCCCTGGCTCACCGTGAACCTCGATAGCAAGTCGTGCTTCTCGCAGCCCACGTCCATCTCCTCCCGCCGCGACCGTATGATGCGATCGGCGAAGCCGTGCACCATGGCAATTGACTCGCGCAACCGCCGCTCGGAGCCCAGATTGAGCGCCTTCTTGATCATCCAGAATCCTGGGACGGCGTACTGGAACCTGCCCGCGCTGAGATTGGCCGCGTCCCGGAACGCGTCGGCGAAGCTGCTGCTCGCTGTCGCGGCGCTCTCGACTTCTGGGCGAGCGCCGTCTCCGTCCGGGAGCTGGCTGGGGTCGTGGTCGAAGGCGACGCGGCAGATATTATCGAACGCGTACCGCTCGAGCGTGTCCTGGAGGTCGAGCTGGCGGCCGGAGCCGGCGGCACGGCGCAGGAGCGGGAGGAGCCTGCCGTGGAGCTCGCTGTGCACGCTTCGCGCCACGAAGAGGCGCAGCGAGCGCGTGTTGAACTCGTAGCTGGCGGCCTTCCGCTGCGCGCGCCACGCCTCGCCGTCGGCGTTGAAGATGCCCCGGCCGAGGAAGTCGTGGAGCAGCGCCGCGAAGCGCGGGCCCTTGGGGTAGTTGTCGAAGCTGGCGCGCATGATGTGCTCCAGGTTGGTCGGGTTGGCGGTGATGACGCCTCGGACGCCGCCGGGCCGGCGGAACACGAGCGTGCAGGTTGGCAGGAGCGCGAGCACCTCGGTGAGCCAGTCCAGCACGCGGTGCCGGTTCGCCAGGAACTGCGGCAGGTGTCCGAGCAGCGGGTACGGCCGCGTCCTCGGCGTGCGCTGCGCCGGCGCCTTCTTGTCGAGTCTCCACGCACGGAGGACGAAGACTGCGCCGAGGGAGAAGAGCGGTATCAGGAGGAAGCAGGCTGCCAGTGCGATTGCCATGGCCGCTAGCTGGACTCCACCTACCGTGGGAGGAAATTCGGGGGGTTTATCTCCATGGTTTGTTTTTGTGTAGGTGAAGGGGAAGAAGATAAGGGAGAGGAGGAAAAGATCGTGGCGGTGAGCGAGCCGGTTGGTCTGGAAGCACCTCCGCCACTGGTGAGTTCTTGTGCTGACCGCACACGTGCCGCCGGTCTGCCGTAGCTATACAAAATGGGAACTTCGTACGGAACGAATCTGCCGCCATTTCCACTGAACTGCGTCACATTCGACGGATCGGAGGAGATATTTGTCTCAACTCTCAACACTGGACGTTTAGAGGGCCGACCTAAATGGACGATGTTTTTGTTCGTTTTTTGTTTGTTTGGGTCGATTCGGCGAACATAAATGTCCGACGTTGTGTTTGAATCGGCGCGAGCGCCTAACGCTGGCCTGATCCATTTTGTCAACGCGCCAAAAAAAGTCTTGCAAGCATTTAAAAAATAAATACATACATTTAATTAAACATAAAAGCCGGCCACAAAGGCCAGCGAAAGTCCACATTACATTAATTAACATAAAAAACTAAAAACTAGACGATGTGTTGCCCTAGGCGTCCTCGTCGTTGGCGGCGTCTGCGTCGGGGCTGGTGAGGTCGATCAGCGTCGACGCAGGGCAGCCCAGGGGAACGCCGTGTTCCAGAGGGCGGCGATGTCGGGCTGCTCCGCCGCTGCTTGGGCCTGGCACGCCTCCTTTTCGGTATCGCGCTCGAGCATCTGCAGGCGCTCCTCGGCCAGCCGAACGCGGCGCCAGTGGTCGAGGTAGGCCGCCTCCTGCTTCTCCGTCGCCCCGAGCTAGATCGGCGGAGCGCCGACCCACTCGTGCACTACTCCGGTCCAGGAGTAGCGCTTGAGGTAGGCCGGCTCCTCCGGCTCGGGCGGCGGCAGGACGCCGTGGACGCCGCGTCGCGTCGCCTTCTCGTGCTCGAAGGCGAACCATCGAGCCCAGTTGGGCGAGTCAACGGCGTAGTGCGGTTCGGCGAGCTGCTCCGTGATGTCTACTACACAACCTTCTTCTTGTAGACGTTGTTGGGCCTTCAGGTGCAGAGGTTTGTAAGACAGTAGCAAATTTCCCTTAAATGGATGACCTAAGATTTATCAATCCGTATGAGGCGTAGGATGAAGATGGTCTCTCTCAAACAACCCTGCAACCAAATAACAAAAAGTCTCTTGTGTCCCCAACACACCCAATACAATGGTAAATTGTATAGGCACACTAGTTCGGCGAAGAGATGGTGATACAAGTGCAATATGTATGGTAGATATAGGTTTTTATAATCTGAAATTATAAAAACAGTAAGGTAACTAATGATAAAAGTGAGCGTAAACAGTATTGCAATGCATTAAAACAAGGCCTAGGCTTCATACTTTCACTAGTGCAAGGTCTCTCAACAATAATAACATAATTGGATCATATAACTATCCCTCAACATGCAACAAAAAGTCACTTCAAAGTCACTAATAGCGGAGAACAAACGAAGAGATTATTGTAGGGTACAAAACCACCTCAAAGTTATTCTTTCTGATCAATCTATTAAAGAGTTCGTACTAGAATAACACCTTAAGACACAAATCAACCAAAACCCTAATGTAACCTAGATACTCCAATGTCAACTCAAGTATCCGTGGGTATGATTATACGATATGCATCACACAATCTCAGATTCATATATTCAACCAATATAAAGAACTTCAAAGAGTGCCCCAAAGATTATACCGGAGAGTCAAGACGAAAATATGTGCCAACCCCTATGCATAAGTTCACGAGGTCACGGAACTTTCAAGTTGATCACCAAAACATACATCAAGTGGATTACGTGATATCCCATTGTCACCACAGATAAGCACATGCAAGACATACATCAAGTGTTCTCACATCCTTAAAGACTCAATTCGATAAGATGACTTCAAAGGTAAAACTCAATTCATCACAAGAGAGTAGAGGGGGAGAAACATCATAAGATCCAATTATAATAGCAAAGCTCGCGATACATAAAGATCGTACCACCTTAAGAACACGAGAGAGACAGAGAGAGATCAGACACATAGCTACTGGTACATACCCTCAGTCTCGAGGGTGAACTATTCCCTCCTCGTCATAGAGAGCGCCAGGATGATGAAGATGACCGCCGGAGAGGGATTCCCCCCTTCAGCAAGGTGCCGGAACGGGTCTAGATTGGTTTTCGGTGACTACGAAGGCTTCTGGCGGCGGAACTCCTGATCTATTGTGCTCCCTGATGTTTTTAGGGTATATGACATATATAGGAGAAAGAAGTCGGTCAGTGGAGCCACGAGAGGCCCACGAGGGTGGGGGACGCGCCCAGGGGGACAGGCACGCCTCCTTGCCTCGTGGCCACCTCGAAGCTTCCCCGACGTCTACTCCAAGTCTCCTGGATTGCTTCCGTTCCAAAAATAACTCTCCCAAAGGTTTCATTCCGTTTGGACTCCATTTGATATTCCTTTTCTGTAAAACTCAAAAACAAGGAAAAAACAGAAACTGACATTGGGCTCTAGGTTGATAGGCTAGTCCCAAAAATCCTGTAAAATAGCATATAAATGCATATAAAACATTCTAGATGGATAATATAATAGCATGGAACAATCAAAAATTATAGATACGTTGGAGACGTATCAAGCATCCCCAAGCTTAATTCCTGCTCGTCCTCAAGTAGGTAAATGATAAAAACAGAATTTTTGATGTGAAATGCTACCTAACATATTTATCAATGTAATCTTCTATATTGTGGCATGAATATTTAGATCCAGAAGATTCAAGACAAAAGTTTAATATTGACATAAAAATAATAATACTTCAAGTATACTAACTAAGTAATCATGTCTTCTCAAAATAGCATGGCCAAACAAAGCTATCCCTACAAAATCATATAGTCTGGCTATGCTCTATCTTCATCACACAAAATATTTAAATCATGCACAACCCCGATAACAAGCCAAACAATTGTTTCATACTTTTGATGTTCTCAAACTTTTTCAATCTTCACGCAATACATGAGCGTGAGCCATGGACATAGTACTATAGGTGGAATAGAATGATGGTTGTGGAGAAGACAAAAAGGAGAAGATAGTCTCACATCAACTAGGCGTATCAACGGGCTATGGAGATGCCCATCAATAGATATCAATGTGAGTGAGTAGGGATTGCCATGCAATGGATGCACTAGAGCTATAAGTGTATGGAAGCTCAAAAAGAAACTAAGTGGGTGTGCATCCAACTCGTTTGCTCACGAAGACCTAGGGCATTTTGAGGAAGCCCATCATTGGAATATACAAGCCAAGTTCTATAATGAAAGATTCCCACTAGTATATGAAAGTGACAACATAGGAGACTCTCTATCATAAAGATCATTGTGCTACTTTGAAGCACAAGTGTGGTAAAAGGATAGTAGCATTGCCTCTTCTCTTTTTTTTCTCTAATTTTTTTTGTTTTTTGGGCCTTCTCTTTTTTTATGGCCTCTTTTTTTTTTCTTTTTCGTCCGGAGTCTCATCCCGACTTGTGGGGGAATTATACTCTTCATCATCCTCTCCTCACATGGGACAATGCTCTAATAATGATGATCGTCACACTTTTATTTACATACAACTCAAGAATTACAACTCGATACTTAGAACAAGTTATGACTCTATATGAATGCCCGCGGCGGTGTACCGGGATGTGCAATGACTCATGAGTGACATGTATGAAAGAATTATGAATGGTGACTTTGCCACAAATACGATGCCAACTACATGATCATGCAAAGCAATATGACAATGATGGAGCGTGTCATAATAAACGGAACGGTGGAAAGTTGCATGACAATATATCTCGGAATGGCTATGAAAATGCCATAAAAGATAGGTATGGTGGCTGTTTCGAGGAAGGTAAATGATGGGTTTATGGTACCGGCGAAAGTTCCGCGGCACAAGAGAGGCTAGCAATGGTGGAAGGGTGAGAGTGCGTATAATCCATGAACTTAACATTAGTCATAAAGAACTCACATACTTATTGCAAAAATCTATTAGTTATCGAAACAAAGTATTACGCGCATGCTCCTAGGGGGATAGATTGGTAGGAAAAGACCACCGCTCGTCCCCGACCGCCACTCATAAGGAAGACAATCAATAAATAAATCATGCTCCGACTTCATCACATAACGGTTCACCATACGTGCATACTACGGGAATCACAAACTTTAACATAAGTATCTCTCAAATTCACAACTACTCAACTAGCATGACTCTAATATCACCATCTTCATATCTCAAAACAATCATCAAGTATCAAACTTCTCATAGTATTCATTGTACTTTATATGAAAGTTTTTATTATATCCCTCTTGGATGCCCATCATATTAGGACTAAATTCATAACCAAAGAAAATTACCATGCTTTTCTAAAGACTCTCAAAATAATATAAGTGAAGCATGAGAGTTCATCTATTTCTTTAAAATAAAACCACCGCCGTGTTCTAAAAGGATATAAGTGAAGCACTAGAGCAAATGACAAACTACTTCGAAAGATATAAGTGAAGATCAATAAGTAGTCGAATAATTGTGCAACTATGTGAAGACTCTCTAACATTTAAGAATTTCAGATCTTGGTATTTTATTCAAACGGCAAGCAAAGCAAAATAAAATAAAATGACGCTCCAAGCAAAACACATATCATGTGATGAATAAAAATATAGCTCCAAGTAAAGTTATCGATGAACGAAGACGAAAAAGGGGATGCCATCCGGGGCATCCCCAAGCTTAGGCTCTTGGTTGTCCTTGAATATTACCTTGGGGTGCCTTGGTCATTCCCAAGCTTAGGCTCTTGCCACTCCTTATTCCATAGTCCATAGAATCTTACCCAAAACTTGAAAACTTCACAACACAAAACTTAACAGAAAACTCGTAAGCTCCGTTAGTATAATAAAATAAATCACCACTTAGGTACTGTTTTGAACTCATTCTAAATTCATA